CTACACATCATGCTCTGAGGTTATCGAGCAACATCCCATTCATCAACCAGAGATACTCCTTTTCGGCTAACTTACGGAACCGAGGCTTTCATCCCTGTCGAAATGAGAGAAGCATCAAGACGGAAGGAAGCTCCCCTCAACATAAAAATGAACGGAGAGGCATTGCAAGAGAAGCTCGATCTTGTCAAGGATATCCGCATTGGAGGTCCCTACAAGAAGCCTTTCTCAAGCAAAGATCACCATGTGGTATGACGCTAGAGTCATACGACGAGAATTCAAAGTCGGCAGCTTAGTCCTTAATAGGAATCACAAAGAATCCAGTGAAGGCAAGCTTGCTGCGAATTGGGAAGGCCCTATCCTGTCCATGCAACAACGGGGACCGAGGCCTACTACTTAGAAATTTTAAATGGGGAACAACTTGCTCAACCTTGGAACGCTGAAAATCTAAAATAATATTACAGCTAAGACGCTGAAAACAATCGGCGTGTCTCGTCGACACAATGAACACATCTCTTCCCAACCACACGTGCATGCCTAGGTATAAGCATGGTACTCGAAATTAAACAAAGAGGCAAGTTTCCACTCTCTTGACGAGCAGATTCTCAGCCCAGCGTGGACAACTCAAACGAGCTCCATTATCATCGTACCACGTAAGGAAGAAACTCCAGGTCGCGATGGGATTTTCACGCCATCGAGCTCAGGCCCCAAACGAGACTTGAGTTCCGGTCCTTGCCCGGTAACCACCATGGCCGTTCTACTGGTCTCCCACACCAGTGAACCTCAAAATACTAACGAGCAAACCCCCTTTATGAATCTCCTTAGCAAAACAAAAACGTCCAATCAAAGCGAGCATACACACATACACATATAAAATAAAAACTTGAGCAAATACAAAGTAAACAAACGACCACGTGGGCCATGATTATCCAAATATTACATAAAAGGGGCCAAGCCCCCACCAAAAATACGACCAAAATAGCCACGAGGACCATAATTGTTTGAAAAATACATCAACGGGCAATGCCCACTGAAAAAAAATTACATCAATATGGCACGCAGGCCAAAATAACATAGAGAGAAAGACAATCAAGTATTTGGCTGGGGCTCCTCCTCAGTGACGGGCTCTTGATGAGATGGATCTCCAACTGACACATCCCAACACCTTTGAGATATCCGGGGACCAAAATCTTCTCGCCGGCCACGTAGTAATGGAGTCCCATCCCGGTCGTATTAAGCTCGACCTCAGGATTCAAGACCCGAAGCTGCTTCACCGCATCGTCAAAGCTCCCCCCCAGCAGCGGCCAAAACATCATTCATTCCCAGTTGAAGGCGAGTAACTAGTTCCGCACGAGTCTTCAAGCCTTGAGCTTCTTCTGGCTCGTCTTCGGCAGGAGCGACTTCAGTCGTCAAGGATGCCACCAGTTCATCTGAAGCTTTCTTTTCGAGCAGTTATGCCTTATGCTCCTTAGTCAATTCTCCAGGCTCTTCTTTGCTAACTTCTGAGCAACCCCCGCATCAGCATGCTCCTTCTCAGTATCATCCAACTTAGCCCGCAATTTTCTCATCTCAACTTCTTGGGAGGAACCTCCCTCCGTGTACGCGACAGCCATCTCCAAGATCCTCATAACGGCCCTAGCATCCCGTGCCAATGTAACCTGCTTATCCAGACGATCCAACTCCTCGAGTAAAAGAGACTCGCCCCGAAAGAGGTACAAAGAAGAACCTTCGGAGAAGGCCCTGTTATGCCAGCAAGGAGGCATAGCGTATCTCCCCTTTTCTTTTTCCTCCGTCAGATCAACGATGCCCTTATTGCATTGTCTTTCAAGCCTCGAAGACACCTGCCAAGGGGGAAGAGTCCCGACCACTGGTCTCGTCGACGAAGCACCCGAGCCCGACATGAGAGCCATCCCCATGTAAGACGGAAATGACTTAGCACTCTTCTGCTCCTTCTTTAGATTCGAGGCGACCATCTTGGCCAAATGCTCTTGAGCAAGATTCATGTTATCTGCAAGGAAACAACAAATTAGGGCCAACAAACATAAACAATATGTTATGCACACAAGTTTAATAAGATTATAAAATAACTACCCAGATACGCTACGAGATCCTCGCTCTCGAGGAGCTCCTTGACACCTATCAAACCAAGGTCATAAAACGCCTTCCCGTCCTCGTCGACAACCATTTTCCCTCCTTTTCCCACACGTTGGACATGAGGAATCCCTGCAACAAAGGTAGATAGACAACTGAAACTAGCCTGGTCATCAGGACCAAGCTGACCCATCTTCTAGACACATGCCTCAGTCCCCTTATCATAGTGCTTCCTAGTCCAATGGAAATGAAACTTGGGCACCCATTTATTCATGTGCTTCCCCTCCCCGTTCTGGACAGGGGCCCCTTCCTCGCCATACGCTGGAGAAATCCTAAAGACATTCAGCAGTGCCCTCTACGAGACGGGCTGAATGAGCATGTACTTGTCCTTGAAGAAATGGATAGACTCCAACTACGCCTTGAGCAGTTTCCCGTTTGCTTGCTTTAAAGAAACCCATATGTACTGAGCATCGAACGTGCTCCTTTGAAGATGAAAACAATAGAAGAAAAGAAAAAGAGTGGCCCTGATACCCAGATAGTCACACACAATCTCGAAAGCCCGCATAAAGGCAATTGAATTCAGGTGAAGTTGGGACGGAGCGAGTCGGAGATGCCTAAAGACCGCCACCTGAAGATCAGAGAAAGGAAGTGGAAAACCCATCTCCCTGAACGGGATATCATACATGGGAAATCGCCGAGCTTCAAACTTCGAGCAAGACCGACTCTTCTTCTCGGAGATGTATATCGCCCACTGCTCCTTGGCGCCCTCACGCTCCATCTCCGGCTCCACCAATGTAAAGATATCGTCGGGATGCTCGATAAATTGAGAAGCATACTTCCACGGGCCCGGTGCAACCCGAGCCAAGGGACCCTCTTTAACTGCGGGCGCGCTTGGACCAGCCCGGTCAGCAAGAACCATCTCTACATCCCCCTCGGTGGCCTGTTGCCCAGGCGATCCTGACTCCAACACGCCCGACTCAAGACTCATACGCTTCCAAGGTACTCGTATATCTAGATATGCTCTCAGTGGAACTCTGAGCAGAATCACTAGGCTCGTTCAGAAAATCGTCATCAACATTATCGTCCATTGTACTTGAAAAGTAGAGGATAAAAGTGAGTTCGACATCAAAGTCAAATCCACCCTTCCACCGCTAATCAAGTGAAAGGGCACTAAGGAACGAGGACTCTGTCCCCCGACCAAAGCCCTCACTTAGCAACAACTAGACATACATCACTCTCCCCGACTAGTCGAACTGGACTCACCCAGAAAACAGGCAGAGAACGACAAAAATGGCCTAAAATCTCCAAAAGAACCACCCACATTCATCAGACACCACCTCGATTCCAAACTTTCCAGGGAGAACACGTGGCATCGCCTAATGACCAGAATTGACCCAATCTGATTCTACCTTTGACACGGCCCAATAATGCTGGCCCAGCATTACAGTTGACCACACCCTTGAACGACACGACCAACAATGTCCGAAATGCACGCCTGTCCGTGCGGGAAACTACCTCCCAGTCTGCTCGACACACGAAGAGCAGATGGCCAGGAAACACTCATGAACGCTCATGCCCGTCATCTCAACCTTGCTCTACGCAAGGCTAGTTACGGGCACAACTGCCCGTTTTGATCCAGTCCTAACAATTGTCTATTTTTACGGACCCGCATATCTAGGCCAAAAAATAGAGACCAATGGATACACGCTGGGGGAACTATATAAATCCCCACACTTGTGAGGACCAGGTATCCATTCTTACTTGATTGTTGGAGTGCCTTGCAGGTACAACCCCCTTTCCTCATCAATTTTCCAACAAATCAGATATCATTCTTCAGCCTACTAGTAAGTTCTGATCAACCGATAAGATCAACTACTATAATTTCTTTTTTACTTTCAAAATTTTATATATAGAGATAAAAAGTAATCTAAATTACTTTTTCTTTTAATTCTATCTTTATCAATATCAATAAATTAAAAATGAAAACAAAAATAAATATATAACCATTTCATTTCAAATAAAAATAATAAATAAATAATATTTTGTTTTTTTGGTTAGTAAGTAAATTAAAATAAATATCTTATAAAGAATACGATAAAGTATATACATAGTATTTGTTGATTTCTTTAAATAATTAAAAATATATAATAATTTGTGAGATTTTGTAATATAATACAGTTTAATTTGATTTAATTCGGTTTATAAAATACAAACTGCAAATTGAACTATACGGTTTTGTTAAAAATAACCCACACATCCGAATTAAATGTAGTTTTGTTTTGTACTTTCTAATATGATTTAATTAACAGTCTTTTATTGGACCGGTTCGATATTGAATACTCCTAATTGTGGATATTGTTTTAGGGTACTCAAATCTCTATATATGGAATATGTATTTGCTTAGAATAATAGGTTTATACTAGGTCTTACTAAGACAAATAAAAAATTCAAACTTAAACCTATTTTCATCCTTACTTGGTATGAGTTTGATTTCTCTCTCTTTGGACTCTTCCATTTGAAATAGAACACTGTACAACCTTTTTAGTAAAGAAACTTACATGTAATATAAAGCTTATACACAATCTGTATATTTTTTTTTATTCACCCATGATGTTATATATAACCATAATAAGAAGAGTGAACAGTAATCCCAATATGAAAAACAGAGGCAACTAAAATAAATTTTGCACTCTACTTGTCAGGAAACCAGACTGTACAATGAAAGTTTAGATAAATTCATTGAGTTTAGCTATGATTTGCATAATATAATATGTACAAGTATGATAATTACCTAAATACTATGATTCATAATCTTCTTTTCCCATAAGGAAGGTGACAACTAATTTGTTTAATAAAAAATACTAATTATAATAAAATCAGTTCTTCTTGTGATTTCATAATCTGCCATCTATCTAGAAGAGCCAATACTTTTTCTTTGGAAGTCTAGTAGGAACATCTGCAAATTCATTGTAGAAAAGGAAGATAAGCTTTTTTTTAGTACTTCTGAGCATGAAGAGTATATATAGGAAGAAAGAAGAAAAATCCATCTGAATGTTCTTATAGCCATTACCTCCATTTGTGTACAATGAGTTATAGTGCACTTCACTCCAAAAACTTAGCCATAGCTCTATAAATTCAAAAAAGAATCATAGTTACATTAATAAACTCTTAAACTCTGACCTTAAAATCAAGACTTGAGACAAAAACAAACCATCAAAGAAAGCAACATTAACAATAGTTACCTCTTGTGGGCCTTTTGTTAGTAGGAAGGATCTCGATATAGCAAGTGTCTCTAAAAGAAGTCACTAAGCAAATCTTGGCATCAAACTGAAGAAAAACAATGATAGTCAAAAAACAATTGTGGAATATAGAGTTTTTTGTTCTAGAAATTGGAAACAATGTTTATGACTATGCTCTTGAGATTTATAGAACTTAGATGACTCACCCGGTCTGCAGCTGCTTGTAGAGTAACATGATCTCCCCACTCTCCTGATCTATTGTCACACAATATGAAAACATCAAATTAGTGTTACCATCAATACTATGCTCTCTAATGATATCAATGTAAAATTGATCACCAATGATATCTAACTTTTTCATCTGCTTTATGTAGCTTTTGTACTCCATTGGCACATAAGCTTCATACAAGTTTTTTTGATGCTTTAGCTGGGAGAAAAAGTACAAGCAAAAACTGAATAAATACTTTGCAATACTGTTCAATCGTCAATAACACAACATAAAATAAGAAAAACGAGTGAAGATGATGCAGTGTTTCAATGAAATATTTCATAATAGCCAAAAGAAATTAGTGCTCTTATGTCTATAACGAACCTACCTGCTTAATAACCTGCCTTCTGACATACTTGTGGTAATCAGGCTTGCCGAACAACTGATCAGCTATGGCTCGGAACTGTTAAGTAACATTTTCACAAATATTAGACAAATTGAAGGAACATGTAACAAAAGTGGCAAATAATGAGGGAAAAGTAAGATGTCACATAAGTTTTCTTTGGAAGGAAAGAAACCGAAATACCTGACAATTTCCATCGCCCTCCATCTGCAGTTCAGACAGGCCATATGTAACCAACCTTTCTGATAGCGTCTCATGGTCAAGTGTTGCGTGATTGACATCAGGAATCTCTCCATTAACACGAGGAGTATGCTGCCAACATAGCGAATTGACAATGCAGGTAACAACAAAAACGAATAACAAATCAATAACCTATGTTTGATACATACCGGAATAGAATCTAAATGGGAAAGTCGTTTCCCAAGCTGTCTGCTTCCCCGGTTCAGAGTTTCCTCTTCTGCCAAAATGCTTGCAATGGTTTGATCATCCTCCGTCTCACGAAAACTGCTGTTCAAACTCGAGCTTGAACTCTCACTTCCATTCCTTAGATCCGCACTCATACTTTCCTCAAATCAACCAAATAAAAATTAAATCACAACCTACAATTACAAACAAATAAGGAATCTGAAAAAGAAAAGAAAAACACAAGATAAATCAATGAAATTCTCTACCCCTAAAAAAAAATACCTTGGTTCCGTCGGCAGCACTGTAGCAGTAGTAAGAAAAAGAATAGAAGAGAAGAAAAGAAAGAAAGGAATTGAAGTAAAGAAACGTAGACGTGTGATGGAAACAGTTGAGAAAATTTGGGTGTTTCGAGAAGGAAGACAAAACGCGGATGCCTTGAGTTTGGTCTTGTTTTGGACTTGTCCAATAATGTACGAACCAATTGTTAGATATTTGACCAAACTTAAAGTCCTTTTTGGAGTTTTTGTTTTTTCTTTCAATAAAATACAATCAACGTAATTTATTTTTGACAAAATCAAATGATGCGTCTTTTTAAAAATAAAACTAAGGCTTTAAGTTTGCTCTTTTTTTTTTTTAATGTCAATGGGTGTTTTAATGTATTAAAAATTAAAATAATTGATTTTTGTAAATAATATATTTTTTATTTGATATCTTTAAAGAGTGTTTCGAGAATACTCGTTAACGTGACCCTTTTTAATCTTAATTTATTATATATTTATGCTTAACAATAAAAAATATGTAATAATTCAAAGTGATGTTTGAACTTGCTATTGATGACTGACGTGGTCAATTTATTTATTGAAGTATGATTTTCTTTAAGTAATATATGTCTGTTAACTGTAAATTCGACGCTTAAAAGGTACAAGAAAATTCAAGAGAATTGTTGAGGAGAATATTTGAAGTAAACAAACTTCATTCGACGGAAAAATTGGATAGTATTTTGACCGAAGTTGGAAAAGAAGCTTCGAAGTGGTGAAAAGGTGCAACGATGATGTTATACCCCAATTTATGCCCCTAAGATTCTCTGTCATCTCATAGCATCATATTGTATCGAAATTGCGTTGTCTTCAAACTTCGTTTTGCACGGTCAAGACAAAGTCGGTTATTTAGTTCTCAAGACTCTTCGAGATAGGCTCATGTGTTTATCTTCATGCCTTCTTCAACGAGTAATATCAAATCTTTATAAGTATGAATCAGAGTTTCCCTATCTCAAGCTCAAGTGTTCCGTCAAGCAGTAGCAAAGCAGAAATTCAGGGTTTTCGGGATTCAAGTGCACTTCACATATTTTTTCGAGCTTCATAACCAGTGAGTCATCGAGTCATCAGCCTACCAAGCTCTCACGTGTTCTATCATGCTTCAAATTGCAAGGAAATCAAGCGTTTCAGTTGATTCGGGACAGCCCGAACAGAAAATAAGTGTTTCACAATGTGTTTACCCTGGAATTTGATAAACAACCGCTGATCCTCTAAATTCTTTAACAGATTCAGTTACTCACGAGATCGATCATATTGATCTCAAGACTATTGTGTTCAATTATTTAGAAAGCATGCTTTGATGATAATCTCTTTAAACAAAAGGGATCACTTCGCATGTCGAAGTGAAACTTCTTTATAAAAGTAATGAAATATAAACTAGTCTAGACTGGGAATTGTAAAGAACGTAAAGAAACTTCATTGAATGTAAATGACATTGAATATAAAATATGGTGTATCATACGTACATTCTCGTTAACTCTTTTCTCGAACACTGGTACTTTGAGTATTTTGTACAAAGATGTGAACACACTAAATCAACACACAAAAGCTACAATTTATAGAACTTCGACCCTAACGGTCTCCTAACAAACTAATGCCACGTTTCCGCTGGCATGTCTTTGATAATCCAAGAGATTCCACGCGTCCTTCTGGATAAGAATGAATATTCGAATTCAAACCCTTCACTATCTGTCTTGAGCGCCAAAACCAATAAAATCTGATAACGGTCGAAGTATAAAATCTTAAGCCATGTTTTGGATAATAACTTTATTTCGCAATTCGAATTATAAACTATCCATCAATCTTTTAACGAATTTCAGATTCGAATCTTCATGGCTTTTAACAAACAAAATAGCCAAACAATTCTCTAAGTATATTTAGACCATTGACTCAGCTCAATTTCTTCTTAGTCGAAATTTTCAGCCAACAAATTGCCCCCAAGAAATATTCATTTCGAAACCAGAAATGCATATTTTTTGTAATCTCCTCAAATTTCAACCTTATGAACAACTCATCAATCGCTTCAACTATTATGACGTCATTATCATAATGACTTTTGATTCCCAGACGTCTAATCGCAGTATGGGTATCTATAAATCTCATCATTAGCTATGATGAATAGTCTTAACTTTGGAACTTACAAAACCGTTCATCAAGCAAAGGATCACCTTACACGTGTCTCACTACTCAAAAAGTTCAATTTCCCTCTTTCCATAAAAAAACGATTCAATTTCCCTTCATATAAATTAACACCATTCATTTTATTTTTCTCTTTTCTGCACTTTTTCCAAATCAAAAGCTCTCCCTTCTTCTTCCAAAGTTCAAAAAACTTTTCTGCAACTTCTTCTTCAAAACACAATCAATGGCGTCCCAGAAGAAATCAAAGTTTGGAAAGAGTAAAAAACACAAAGACGATGCTGCTTCCAACCCTTTACTCAAAGTAGCAACACCCATCATGATTGGAAATCAAGAATTTGTTCCCACACCATCTCTGAGGAATCAACAAATTGCCATCTACGCTTCCCAAGTAATGATTCCCTTCACTATTGCTTCTGATGCCTTAGGATATATGGGTCCTATACCCAATGTATCAGATATATCAAAACTCAAGAGATTTTTTCCTGCTTACCACTTGACTAGACCCATAGCTAGTAAACCTAGGGTTAGTAAGAAATATGTTGAAAACACTAGGGTAGAAGACGAAACAATTCCCCAGGAAAATACTCCTCAAGAGGGTAAAGAAAAAAATGAACCTTCCTTTAAGCTAGACTTCATCACAGAAGTTTTGTGACCTTTTAGGCCAGGTCCATCGAAAGAGGACAAGAAGTACCTTGGATGGTTAGCTAGGATAGAGAAAGCGAAATCGAAAACATGGAAAAACTTGGGAATCTTCGACTTGATTCATCTGTCGAAATTTGGCCCTGAATACTGTCAGCTAATGCTAACAACTTCCCTATACTTCTGGGATAGTACTTATAACACCTTTCACCTACCCTACAGAATGTTAACTCCAACGCTCTTTGAGGTAGCTGTAATCACGGGCCTTCGAGCCACAGGAGAGACTTTCGACCCTACCTTGGACGCTGATGACTCCATCGACTTCAACAATGCTTCTCCCACTTATAACAATTACATTGATCACTACTTGGGATCGACAAATGAAGTTAGTGATCAGGAACACATAGCTTTTCTTGCTTTATGGATTTCTCGATGTGTCTTCTGCTGCAAATCTCTGCAAGTCGCCAGAAGATTTTTGACCCTCGCCAACCAACTCCATGCTGGTCGAGATGTTTGCTTGAGCGAACTAATTCTTGCTGGACTATTTGAGAGCCTTGGGTAGGCTTCCATAAGATTAAAAAACTTTGAACCCAAAACCAACATTTTACTGGCTGGTCCGTATTAACTACTTCAGTTGTGGCTCAATGCCACCTTCGAACCTTCCCTTTCGAATACAAACCCAATTGATGAATCTGACCCTGAAATCCAGAACAGGACTGTCGAAGGGACTAGACTAGTTTGTTTGAACCTGAATGATGAAGGGAAAAACTTGCAAGAGTGCTTCACTAGGCACCTGATGATATTTGCAAAGAGGTACAAGTTTACCCCTTAAATGGCACTATTTTCTCAAAGAACCCATGGCCCAAAATGGTTCACAAAACCTCTCACTGGCCTTTCGACTAAACGACAAACAGAACCCCTCCAGATTTGGGAAGCTTTCCTGATCCATAGACTTCTCGTTACCAGAATTATGCCCAAGAAAACTCAGAATATTTTACTTACTTACCAACCCAATTTTGTCACAAGACAATTTGGACTCTACCAAATCCTACCTGAACCATTGTACCGCCACAAAAGTGACATCTGTCATAGAGGAATGAATTTCACAATTGTCAAAGAAAAGAAAATTATAAGAAATTTCACAGGCTTCCTCCACCTCAATCTTGTCCCATTTAAACCTTCGACTTTCTGTACTCAAGACTTCGAAAGCTGGTGGCAAGAACATTATGTCTCCAATATGTTTGGTGTCACTGACTTCGATAATCATATAACCAAATCTTTTGCCTCTGTGCAGGACAAGACGAAGAAAGGTACGCATCGACACATCAAGGAGATCCAGGCATTCCAAAAGTACTTTGAAACTTTCTACAAGCCTACTGATCTTGGTCAAACCATTCTAGATGCATATTTGATTTTAAAGGAAAAGTTTACAGAAAAACTCCCACGTTTGAGTATACCTTCGTGTGTCAAACCTGAGGATCGATATGACTTGACTTTTCAATTAGAGCCTCCAAAATTCCCCAGATTGCCTACAACTGACTTCGCTCTAGCTTGGTATCCACCTTATCCTAACTGGTTAAGCGTGAAGGGGTATTTCAAAGTCATGAAACAAGACGCTCTAAAACTCGAAAACGAGTGGTTGTGACCAAGCACACCTTGTAAAGTTTCAAAGGCTTCCTTCACTTGGATTTAAAACATGTCAGAATGGACACTCCAGAAAGTGAAGGTGTGGAAACCAAGGGCTCCTTGGCTACTCCGAATAAATTTCTCTCTTTTCGAAATGATTCTAACCATACATTTATTTTGCAGCTGTCGAAAGAAAACACACCAAGACGGTGAAGCCTACCACATCTATTGGGTCTGTGAAAGCAAGCCCACAACCTCAACCTTCGACAACCAATGCCTCTGAGGAAGATAAAGAAACATTTAAAGTAAACAAGGTAAGTTTTGTTACTCTTTTACCTGTTTTATCTTTTGAATTAGGTAATTTACTTATTTACATTTCACTTTGCTGCAGGATAACGAGAAGCCACCTCTCACTCCCAAGAAAAGAAAACATACCAATGATGATTCGACCACTGCTACAGAAAAGGCTGATGCAACGACTTCCAAAGACACTGCAAAGAAGCTTAAGAATAAAAAGAAGTTGAAGCCTTCTAGTGCAGGTTCTCCTTCACAGGGAACTTGTATATTCGAAAACCTTCCCCCCAGACCAAAGAAAAAGAAAGAAAGTTTGGCCTTGAATGTGGCTCATATCTTGGAGCAAATCGAAAGTGACAATTCGAGCCCTGGGGCAGAGGGAGCAAAGGTAATAATCTCCCACTAAAGGAAGCTGTTGTACCCCAAAATTTTCCCTCCCATTTTCTCAACATCTCTCATCACAAAGCCCTTGGAGATCAAGATCCAGTTAGGGTTTCATCTGCTCAAGACTTCTCCTTGCACTGTTGACCCAAATTAGGGTTTGTGTTTGCACAAAGATATTTTGACCTAAAATGCCTAAGATGACTTTCATGCTTCATATTGGACTCCCAAGTTTATCCACATCAAGTTTCAAGCCTTGATTCCAAGTTTTGTCCAGTCAATTGGATAGTTGACCTAGAAATCAGCTGTATTGGGGAAAAAGTCAACTGTGGCCAATTGACAGTCAAATCTCATGAAAATTGATCCCTATCAACATTATGAACTCACATGGACCATTTGATCAAGTTTGGATCACAATTCCACAAGAAATTTGATCAGATCACCAAAAGGGCAAAATGGTCATTTTTAGGGTTTTGACTGCACAAAGGCAATTTTTGACTGTTTGACCTAGCCAATGGCAAACCAAGCTCACATATGGACTCAAGGACCCCATGGAATTGTCTTGACATGCTCAACAAGTTCAAAAGATCCCAAATACACAAGATTGACAGTTGAATTTCCCAGTCAATTGATCAATTTTGACTGTATATTGAAAAGTCAAACTTTGACTTTTTGGTCAAAATCAAGAGTCAAGATTCATTTTCCATCAAAACATGCCAAATCATGAAACTTGTTCATCAAGAAATCAAGAAATGCAAAATTAGGGTTTGAAATGAGGATTTTTCATAACTTAGAATTTTCTAAGTTATGAAAAACCCTAATTTTTTCCTAACTTTGTCCCACTTTCTCACCAAGATTCATTTGGATTCAAGCAAAAGTCAAAACATGAAAGTTGTAGCCTATTGCATAATCTACAACTTTGATTCATAAAGTTTTCCCAAAAGAGGCTTTTATCTCAAGTTACAATTTTTGGAACAAGGGTACCAAACCATTCTTAACTTAGTGAAAATTTGACCTATTTTAGGCAAGGTTTTTTACCTAACTTCAAGACCATTTTTCACATACTTCCACTTGGAATTTCAATTTTAATTTCAAATATGGATTGTAGTACACATTCCAAGCTTTCCAAAATGTCCAAGAACTCATCAAACAACCTCATGGTTAGGGAGAATCGAATTTGGCAAGTTGGGCAAAAGTCACTTTTGTTCTTGACCAAGACATGTTCATACACATTGCCATTTTCAAGTCAGCTTGGTTTATGCTACATTACAGGCCTCTAATCCCATTTACACTCAATAATTTAATGCATACTCATTGTGCCAAAGCCTTATTTTGTGTGTCCAAGCATTATTTACAAGATTAAGACATTTTTAGATAAAGCATAATATCCATTTTTGAAAAGTTAAACTTTATGTCAAAGTTGCAAATCAGCAAGTACATTGGAAATCTCTTTGGCACAAGTTTAGGACTAATCACACTGATCAATGCCAAGGTTTGCAGCACATTAGGGGGGCCTCTAGCTGTCTAAAACTCAAGTGGACATTTGCTTGCTTAAGTGTGAAGAAAGCTAGCATAACACAACACAACTTTCATCTCAGCACAAAAGAGCTTAAGCAAATACTTTGTACACTTCCTAAACATCCATCCTAAGCTAGAACACGAGCTAACCAAGTCCCAAACACTCTCACTCACAAAATCACCATTGAACTGCACAAAAACAGGGCCTGCTGCAGTTTGAGTTCCATAGCTCAAACCTTCCATGCATTCTTGCTAAAAACTTGTCAAACACATCCCATAACATCCCTTGAAGCTAATCAAAACCTCAAACACGACCTGTAACACTCCCAGGCAAGATCACCATTTTCATTTTCTTGTTTTGCAGCTGAAGTTCCATAGCACGATTCAAAAGGTTTCAAGACAGAGTAAAGCTTGTAATAGCATCCCTGGACATCAAGGAAGCTATACCAATCATTGTAACACCCTCTAAAACCCCGCATATAATTTTCGCAAATATTAAAAATTATAAACTCAGAGTACATGTAATAATCGAGGAATGCTACAATTCTCTTTTAATAAAATAAATTCCTGTCATGCATAATTTTAGTGGTAACTCATACATGTCTACACAGCGGAATAATTTATTTAATAAAATCAAATGTTATAATATTTTCCAAAATCACCAGGGATTAACACCTGGAAAAGTCAACGTCATATTATAACAATTAAAAGAAAATAAACGAGTCTGACTAAAGCAGCTCGACAACCAAACGTTCCCGGAGTTACAACTATCAGAGCATGACCCGGACATACTAAAACGAAACTAAACTAGACACGATAAGCCTTCGCCAAGCACCTGAGCGAAGCTCCTCAATCTGAAATATTCAACAGTAAGGGTGAGCTTCTCAAATATACATTTGGTTATACATTCATAACAATCAATTCACGAAATCATAAGCATCACCCAATAATTAACATATTTCATAGTTTACAAAACCTTTACAATTCATATATCCATGACATACTGCCTTTCATATTTGCAAATATTCATCAAACATCATCAACCATTT